GATGGGCCCTGGGTCCCCACTCTGTACTCCCCCTCATTCACAATGTTAGGATTTTTATTTTTATTTTTTTTGGTCTTTGATGCCTGATATCTGACCCCTTCGCCGCCTTGTCACCTTACAGGCTGGTGTGTTTCTTCCAGGTGGGCTTTGTTGTTTCTCAGTTAGATGGCCCCTTGTTTATTTTCCAGCATGTGGGACCCCAGATTCTGTGTAATTTGACAGCTTGGCACCATCAGCTTTCTTCACCGCATTTGCTTATGTACCCGCTTTGTCTTCAGCATTTGTCTCAGGGTAGGCTGGTGTGCTGCTTCCTTGTGGGTTTTGTTGTTTCTTAGCTAGATGGCTGACTGTCTTCAAGCCTTTAAGACCTTAGATGCTGTATCATTTGATAGCTGGGCACCATCTGCTTTCTTCACCACTTTTGCTAATGTACCTCCTTTGTCCTCAGCAATCGAGTAGGGGCAGGCTGGTGTGCTTCTTCCTTGTGGGTTTTGTTGTCTCTCAGCTAGATGGCTAACTTGTTTATCTTCAAGTCTTTAAGGCTTCAGGTGCTATATCTTTTGGTAGCTGAGCACCATCAGCTTTCTTCACCTTTTTAGCTTCTGGGACACTCTCAAGACAATCCTAGGGAAATAGAAGACTAGCCCTTCCCTACCTTACAATCACCACCTTTATTATCTAGACTCATGTAAGATAGAATGTGCCTGGAAGAGGGAGGAGATCGCCCATTGAAATTAATCTAAACCATGGTAATTAGAGCAAATAGCTGATAATGCCTATTTTGTTTTGCTTGTACAGAGTCCCCCAAGGAGGGTTGGCAGTGTTGAGGTAGGGTGAGCTGTGGCATACTTTATACCTAGGTCTGATGGGACAGAATCGATGCAGAGGAGAGTGGATAAGGCAGCCTCAGACGTAAAAGACTAAAAGGTTGGGTCTGAACTTGGCAGTGGGAATCAAGGAATGCAAAGACAGCCAGGTCCTCAGCAGTCTGCCTCTTACGGAGGTTGCAGTTTACAAAAGCACTAAGATGTGGATCTCCAAGTTGCTGCCTCTTTAGCCTGTTTGTGTGGCGTTCTCATTTCCTCACATGGGAGGGTGAAAAGGACAGGGCACAGGACACCAGGGTTACCTGCCTAAAAAGGATCATTGAAGAGATATTGGAATAGAGGCTTCTAAAAGCAGGGCTTGAGAGATCTGAAGAATTCTGCTACTTTTGTTGCCTGGAAAGTTCTTTTCCTAAGGCTTGAGTCTGTTTTGCTTTCTTGCCTAAAACGTTCTTCGTTAATGTCTGGAATTGGTCTGGAAGAAACTATAAAGTTCCTTTATTCTGACTCTCTCCATAGCTCTACAAATCCAAAAGGTTCAGGCTTAGAGGCCCAACAACCAACTTGGGCTGAGGGTGCTAGATAGCCTGGTTTTCCTCTCTCCCTCTTCCCTATAACTCCTTTCCCCTCATCTTCAACAACCCCCCCCCCAAAAAAAAAACAACAACAACAACCCAAAACCAACCAAACAAAGAACCCTGTTTTTTTCTAGGCTAAGCGAGGGAGAGCTTGTGGTGTGTGTGTGAGTGATCCTGAGGTACACTAGGAAGAGTATCCTTTGACCTGGAGAAATGCTGATTCTTCTCCTCTTTTTCTAGGATGCTCACAACTGTATTCCTGAACTGGACAACGAGACAGCTATGTTTTCTGTTTACGATGGACACGGAGGTAACATTAGCAGATCATATTTTTAACATTTTAGGACTTTACGGGGCAAAAACAGGTCTTTTATACTTTTTACCTTCCACTTTCCAAGGTTCTAGTCTTCAGAAGTTCTTGCCTAGTGGCTATTTTATTTATTTATTTATTTTCCCATTTTTACCATCCTTTCTCCCCAATAGCATAATGTTTTGGTTTTTGATCCTACCAGACCAGGTTTTAATCTAAGAAGCCTCTTCCTACAGAGCACTCCCCAGCCCCCCACCCCCGAGCTAAATAATAAAGGTGAGAAAAGACGAGAGACATATTAATATAGCCCTGAAAGGGGTGCTGGTAAAATCTTATTTTCTGGTTCATACTTCAAACATTGTCCGTCAAAGGGGTTTTCTTGTATGTTAACAAATCCATATCCCTTAACTCAGTGTTCACCTTGAGTATAAAGTATCTATTTCAATATTATGTCATTGTCTACATGTAGTGCGTGACCTTACCTTTTTTCTAGGAGAGGAAGTTGCCTTGTACTGTGCCAAATATCTTCCTGATATCATTAAAGACCAGAAGGCCTATAAGGAGGGCAAGCTACAGAAGGTCTGTTTTCCCACACCATTCATTCATTCTCTGATCCATTACCTGTTGTCAAGCCGTTCCAACCCATAGAGACCTTATAGGACAGAATAGAACTGCTGCCCAGTGTGGTTTCCAAGAGCTAATCTTGACAAAAGCAGCCGGCCATGGCTTTCTCCTGCAGAGTGGCTGCGCCCCCCTGCAACACCAGGACTCCTTTCTGACTGTGCACTGTCCTTCTTCTTTAACCCATGGCTTTTCTTTTCTCTTTGCCCCTCCCTAGCTTTTCCTACAGCGTCTCTTAAAAGAATTTGGTGCCTAAACCAAGGTTACTCCCTCTTGGGCCACTTTAGAGCTGCTTTATTAGGCCCAGGTTTGTGAACGGTTTCATTTATCTGTGAGTGATTTTTAATATGGCTGACACACTAATTTATATCTCATTCTGGTGCCTAAGATTGAATATAGGCAATTCATTTTGCACTTGTATCGTTTTTCTGCACTCATACGGTTTTGCTTATATTTAGGCTTTGGAAGATGCCTTCTTGGCTATTGATGCCAAACTGACCACTGAGGACGTTATTAAGGAGCTGGCACAGATTGCAGGGCGGCCCACTGAGGACGAGGACGACAAACAAAAAGTGGCAGATGAAGACGATGGTAAGTGGTGTAACCATATTGACATGAAGTCAGCCTTATTAAGGACCGTTCTTTATACAGTTTATAGATCAATACTAAGAGAAGATGGCTTCCTGGGGACCAGGGGTCCTCATATTAAAAACCCTATTGTGTTCTCTTCTACTAGTGGTTACAAAAAGAAGGGAGAGAATTAGCCTTTTTTGAGTGCATACTGTTATATTTGTAAATATTTCAATATACTTTGTCAGTGTGATGGAGATTATCCTGATTCCTCTAATATTTATGGACGCCCCTCACCCCCACCCCTCAAAACTGGAGCAGCGCTTAGCTCTGGCACCCAGTCATTGGGCTTGGGTTGTGGGCTCTGGCTGACATAGGCCTCCTATGTCCGTAGCTAGAATAGGTTTCCACTTCCCCCGTGAGGAATGGGACTTGAGAGTAGAACTATGGTAACGTGTTCATTTGGAGAGGGCGTGAAACACAGACCAAAGGGGATTTGGAGGCAGCTGGTACTTGAGGGAAAGGAAGCAGAGAGGTATTCTTCAGAGACTTGAAAAATGAGAGAGGGGTGGGAGGTTGTGGGACAGTTGGAATTCAGGCTATCGGGTGTAGAAGTAGTGGGGGGGTGGTGATCCCATGAGGAGTTTGCCACAGGGCTCTGATTTAGCCTCTTCTCTGTAGTGGACAACGAGGAGGCTGCACTGCTGCATGAAGAGGCTACTATGACTATTGAAGAGCTGCTGACGCGCTACGGGCAGAATTGTCACAAGGGCTCTCCCCACAGCAAATCTGGAGCTGGGCCAGACGAGGAACCAGTGTCCCAGGGCCTCAATGGGGAGACAGGACCTGAGGACCCATCTAGGGAAGCTCCTTCAGAGGAAAATGGCCCCACATCTAAAGCCCACACTGGCCTTTCCTCCAACTCGGAACGTGGCACTGAGGCAGGCCAAGCTGGTGAACCTGCCACTCCCACTGGTGAGGCTGGGCCCTCCTGCTCTTCAGCCTCTGACAAGCTGCCTCGAGTTGCTAAGTCCAAGTTCTTTGAGGACAGTGAGGATGAGTCAGATGAGGCAGAGGAGGAGGAGGAAGACAGTGAGGTAAGGGCCTGTGGGAGCAGGCAAGAAACTGAAGTTGCATAGAGGACCCATGTAGTTACGGTCCTGACTCCCACCCCCCACCCCCCACTTTCTGTTTTGGTATCATCTAAGATCAACTGTATTCTAAACATTAGACTCTTTAGATTCATTATTTCTGTCATCACAGGAGCCATGAGCCATTTTACCTCTTCTTGTATTGCTACTGCAACTATAGACCTAGCTCTGGCCTTTCGGAATCTATCTGTCTAATGGAGAACAAGAAGCTGTTTGTGAAGTGCTTTGGCTGGCAGCTCTGGCTTTTCCTGGGCCTTCCTGCTCTTGACTGTTGAACCTAGTTCAGGGTGTCAGACCCATCCTAACCTTCTCCCCTTGCCCCCCAAATTTCCCCATCATGTTCATGTAGTTGCATCTTTCACTATTTTGAGAACTTGTTTTAGTCACGACCTTTGGTTCTGGGTATGGATTGGGACAAGGGGATCAGGGGGTCATCCCAGTCTCAGCAACCTGGCATCCTCCATCTGGCAGGAATGCAGTGAGGAAGAGGATGGCTATAGCAGTGAGGAGGCAGAGAATGAAGATGATGAAGATGACACGGAGGAGGCAGAGGAGGACGATGATGAAGAGGAGGAGATGATGGTGCCTGGGATGGAGGGCAAAGAGGAGGTGTGTGGGGAAGGGGAACAGTGAGTCTGGAAAAGCCCAACGGCAAGTGTGAATCCTCTGTGATCTTGGGACAGGGGTCCGTCCCCTTGATCTCTTAGTACTGGAGTCATGGTCATAGATGGGTTTATTCTGCAGAGTGAACTAAGTGGTGAGTTTTTGGGGTAGAATTCTCTCAAAGGAGGCACCATTCTGTTTCCTCTGGAAAGCTCGTATCTCTGGGCTCCCCCTCCTGCTTTCCTGGTGGTCCCAGTAAGAGGAGGAAGCACAGGTGAATGAATGGTTAGAGGGATACCAGTGAGGGACTTCTGACCATGAGCAACCATCATGCTCTCTTTTCTTCTCTTAAGCCTGGCTCTGACAGTGGCACAACAGCCGTAGTGGCTCTGATACGGGGGAAGCAGTTGATTGTAGCCAATGCCGGAGACTCTCGCTGTGTGGTGTCTGAGGCTGGCAAAGCTTTAGACATGTCTTATGACCACAAGCCAGAGGATGAAGTGGAGCTAGCCCGCATCAAGAATGCTGGTGGCAAAGTCACCATGGATGGAAGAGTCAACGGGGGCCTCAACCTCTCCAGAGCCATTGGTAAGGACCAAGAAACTATGGGAAAGACTTCTAGGGCTTTTACTCTCTGTTCCTATGTTGTAGGACACTGTACCTAATCTACATAGCCCTGGCACTTTTCAAAGGACTGTCGTGACTACAGCCTTGTCCTTAAACATCTCTATACAATGGGGTAAAATAAGTATCGTATCCTTAATACTTTTGGGATAGAAAAGAGCGGTTAGTGATTTACTTAAGGTCTAGAAACCTAATGATAGGGCTAAAACTAGAAAAACTAGAACTCAATTCAGAAGGGAAAAGAATGGCATGGCTTGGCTTGCCTCAAGTTCAAGTCTGTGGGAAGTACCCAAATTACTCCAGTCAAATCAACCATTCCTTTAACTTCAGGTGACCATTTCTACAAGAGAAACAAGAACCTGCCACCTGAGGAACAGATGATTTCAGCCCTACCTGACATCAAGGTGCTGACTCTCACTGATGACCACGAGTTCATGGTCATTGCCTGCGATGGCATTTGGTGAGCACCTGGGGAGCACCCTGTCATTCCCTTTCTGCAGCATTACTTCTTTTTCAGAGCTCTTTGCAGCTTTGGCCTTATCATCTCTCTAATGGCTCTAGAGGAGCCCTGGTGGCATAATAGGTTATGTTTTGAGCTCTTGGTCATAAGGGAGCAATTCAAATTCCACCAGTTGCTCCGTGGAAGAAAGGTGAGGCTTTCTGCTCCCATAAAGATTTACAGCCTCAGAAACCCACAGGGGATGGGGCCACTATGAGTCAGAATTGACTTGATGGTTCTGAAGTTTAATGACCCAGCACTTTTATCAATCTGATTTAGGATTGGAGCCAGTGTAGCCCTTTTGATGAACCCAGACCCAAGCCCAAGACACAGCTGAGGTGCATCTTTAGGGGTTGGCATTGGCCTGTGCCATCACCTCTGTCTACACTCTTACTCTGCCGAGTGGAATTAAAGGAGATTCTGATGATTGTTTTTGACCTCAGGAATGTGATGAGCAGTCAGGAAGTTGTAGACTTTATTCAATCAAAGATGAGCCAGCGTGACGAGAATGGAGAGCTCCGGTTACTGTCATCCATTGTGGAGGAGGTGAGTCCCTGGGTGTGGGTGTGTGGGTAAGTGTGGGAGCAATCTGGTATGGACCATCAAAGGTTTATCTCTGAGACTGCAAGTGACCAGAGCTATCGATCACTGACATGCCAAACCCTGACCCCCCCAAATTTCCACCTTCCCCCTTTTCTCCATGACTCAGTCTTAAAACTTCATGGATTAGCAAGCGGGCAGTTGATGATAACTGAGGCCTCCCCCTCGACTCCCCTGACCCTGTCGCGCAGCGTTCCTACCGGACTAGGTTCAAACCCCATGGCTGAGCTCCCTGTCCCTTTACAGCTGCTGGATCAGTGCCTGGCGCCTGACACATCTGGGGACGGTACAGGGTGTGACAACATGACCTGCATCATCATCTGCTTCAAGCCACGAAGCACACCAGAGCTCCAGCCAGAGAGTGGCAAGCGGAAGCTGGAGGAGGTGCTCCCCTCCGAGGAGGCCGAGGAAAATGGCAGCATGGATACCAAGAAGGCCAAGCGGGACTAGCAGTCATCGATGCCCCTGCCTACCTAGACTGTTTTCTGAGCCCTCCGGACCTGAGACTGAGTTTTGTCTTTTTCCTTTAGCCTTAGCAGTGGGTATGAGGTGTGCAGGGGGAGCTGGGGTGGCTTTACTCAGCCCATTCCAAAGAGGGCGCTCCCTCCACACAGCATCCTGGGGGGCCTCTGCCATCATCCCCGGCGCCTTGGGGCTCCTTTGGGCTCATCACCGGTTCTGTGCCTGTGCTGTGTATTGGAGGGAAGGACTGGTGGTTCTGGGTTTTACTCTGTGAACACTTTATTTAAAGACATTCTTTTTTATTGGCGGCTCCTTGCCCCCCAGCCGCTTGCACCCACTCTCTGTTGTACACTTTCAATCAACACTTTTTCAGACTAAAGGCCAAAACATCATCTTGCCCGTGGTGTCCTTTTGTTCTCTACTGCTGTGCCCTGTCGCTGGGCAGTGAGCCCATCCCCAGAGCCCCTCGGAGGAGGGGGTGTGCGCGTGCCTGCGAGTTTTTGTGTTTGTGAGGGAGGGGGTGTGCCTGTGCCAGCCTGCCCTGAAAGCTAGCCCTGAGCGGCGTTTCCCGGCGGACTCCAGGCCCGTCTCGGTGTGACCTCTGGTTGGTTCGTCCGCTGTCTTACGTCACAATCACTTCCCGGTCACGCCTGGAAGCCGCCGCCGCCGCCGCCGCTTCGGTTTTCACTACGCGTCCCGTGTAGCTCTGCGGCAGCGGAAGCGGAAGCGAGTGCGGAGGTACCAGCTGGTCTCCGG